CTCAGCGAACATGGCATAGTTGAGCTTCTCCTCGAATGAGCGAGCTTGCAGCATCTGCTCCTTGTTCCTGAGCTTTCCGGTGCCATGCATGGTCATAGTCATTTCGGAGAGCCAGTCCCCTACTATGACATCGACGTCGTCTTTGGCGAGAGATGCGATGGCTCGGACGCGGTCGGAGAAGCCGCCTGAGGCACCGCCCACGCGTACGGGCCGACGGATTGCTGGAGCCATCCTGAGAAAGTATCAAGAAGTTGATCGGTATGATGAGGATGGCGGGTAGAACGCGCTGAGCGAGCCAGAAATCGATTGGAAGCCATGATGAGATGTATCGCTGCGCCGTCGGAATAGCTTTCCCCTCATGCGCTGGAGTCTGTGTAGGAAACTGAACGGCTGTCCATATCCGTAGGAAGCTGCGGACTATGCATTCAGAACTGGGATGGACATGTACCCCACTTGGGGCAAGCCGCTGAACTAAACCATCAGTAGCTAAGATCTCTGACCCACTCGCTCCGCTCTGGAGTCTAAGGATAGCTCTCTGCTCTCAAGTTGCCGAACATACGCGAGTTCCTTAACTCATGCGGCGCGTTCCTGGGCGGGTCGTGGTTGAGGGGAGCGTCGGGTCGAGGAGGGGATTGAATAGGTTTGCGGTCTACCCCAAGATGAAAACATGCAAAGTAGCTGCATCAACGTCGATGTAGCTCCATGGTGTCTGGCCAGTCCCTTGAATGAGGTGAGGGAGTGTCGCGGTGTACCGAGGCAAGCACGGCCATTTGGAAGTAGTAGCAAGACACGCGTCAACGATAGCAAACCTTACATCATCTCACTATCAACAGCAAGTCCTCAGGCACGATGCCATCGCTGATAATATCACGGGAATCGCTTCGTGGCACTCATCTCGTAATCCCTTGGAACGCAGCTGGCGCTGTGCCACACCACGTGCCTTCGGATTCGGACCGACACTAAAACACACACCATCCCCTAACCATCGCGCATCCCCGCATCTCCACACCTGGGATCAACTTTAATGTCGCAGTCACCGGGGCGCGCTAGAGCGCCCGCTGGCCTCCCCATCCACGCCCCCTCCTCCAGCAATGCGCATCCACCCAGCAGCAGCAACGATAACCATGATAATGCACCCCTACCCTCGTATCTCGCCCGGCACATCCAGCTCGGCTTCTCCACCGACGATGTCGCTGCGCTCATCACCGCCATCGACAGCAGCCAAGACCGATCGCCCTCCTCTACGAACAGGACGCTAGCGCACCTCCCCGCAGAACTGCTCCTACAGATTCTCGAACACGTCCCCGTGGACTATATCCTCGACTGGCGATTAGTCTGCCGTGGCTTTCGCGATGCGATCGACGGGCGAGTTCTGTACCGCTCTCTGCAGAGGACGGAGCTGGTGGGGTATCTGGGGGCGAGACATGCTGGACTCATGGTGGACTTGGACGACGAACAGTATGAGTCCATCCATTTACTCGAAGCGGGGTTTTCGCACGTCGAGAGCGATGGCGATGATGCTGCCGGTCTTGGGACGAACCGACCTGTGTGGAGCGCGACGCACGCCGTCTTCGAAATCGCAGATGAGTGGTATGACGCGTTCAGGCGAGTGGGCGGTGCGGAAGCGAATGATGGCCATACGCTTGATGACGCGGACTCAGACTGGTATAGTGTCTTGGACCGACTGCAGTTGCGCCGCAGGGAAGAATATTTCGGGACGTTGCGCTGGTGCATCCGGCTCGACCACGCGGTTCTAGATTTGGATCTCCCGTGCGAATGGCGGCGAATGCACTTCGACGTCGATGTCACCCTGCGCACGGGATCGATACGGGTTGCGTGGAAAGACATGCTCATCCGCTTCCTCAAGACGGAGCGACAATACCGGTTACTACTCGAACAAGTACGTCTGCTTTCAAAACAGCTCGTATGAACATGCTAACAACCACGACCCAGAAAACCGATTCACCATACACCTTCTCCCACCACGAAGACTGCCTCCGCTCCGTCCGCCGCACCCACCTGATGCGCTCCCTCACAGACAGCAAAGACGACCTCCGCATCCTCTGGCACATGCGCCTCCTCCCACCCCTCTGGGCCAGCGCCCCATCCCCCAAACACACGCCCCTTAGCCTGACTCCCACGGAGAATGACGCCATAACCACACTGCTCCTCCTCCGGCGCGCCGCCTCCCTCACCTTCACCCAACTCACCTACCTCCACACCCTCCACTCCTCCTACCAAACCATGGAGTCCGCCCTCCGTGACCTAGACGAAACATACTCTGAATTCAAATCCTACATGAACATGCCTGGTTTCCAGACGAATATCTTGCTGCCGGCTGTGATTCGCAATGCGAAGAATATACCGAGGAATCCTGTGGCGTGGAGTGATGAGCTGAGGAGTAAGATTGAGGGCATGGTGGAGAAGTGGCGGGGGCAGAGGGAGGTGGTGGAGAGGGTGAGGGGGTTGTTGGAGAGTAGTAATGTTGCGATGGCTGTGCCGGATGATAGCTTTGATGAGCTGGGCAGTGATTTTTGAAATAGTGGCAGATGGGGTGGGATGTAATGGCAGGGTTGAGATTTGGAATGGAACGAAATGGGTCTGCGGGCGGGCTGGCTTGGATGGCTTATTTTCATCCCGATGTGAGGATGATCTTCGGTGGGCTACATGTACTTCTAATATTTTGCCGATTGTTTGAATAGTGTTTCGAGGTTTCCAGCTGGTGGCTATCGCCCCTGCATTCCTAGCAGACACAGAATAATGCGATGGTACTACGATCAAGGAACAATATCCGTGTTGGGTCTGACGCCTACAACAAGATGAGGTTCTCTCAATTCATATTCTTATACTCTGCATTGGGACACATGTTGTTGCCTATCCTATCAAATGTGTACGATAGATACCATGCCATATAGACCTTCCCATTATGTTTTGTTTCACTCAGTGTGGGACCATAGAGACGTGTATGTGACAACACCTCCGTTACACTACACATCCATTTAGGAATCCAGCATCACACGACATCACAATCAACCAGCAGTCTGAAGATAAAGTGTTCCAAAATATTATGATTAAGGCCTGGAATCTATCCCAAGCTCGGTATGCCGAATGCGTAATGTGTATATCTCAAAACACCATGCGCTGCATCAAACCATAATAAACAAAAAATGCGCCGAAGCCAGCTCATCGAATCATTGCGCTCGCAAGCTATCAACATGAAGAGTAACAACAAGCGCCGGTGACATGCTCGCTAATGCAGGGAAGACATGCGGTGGAAGTAATGCAATGCGAGGCGAGGCGGTGGACATGCAGGGGTAATGTGAAGCCTGACATGCCATGCGCGGGAATAAGAAGAAGTTTCTCAAAAGAACTCGGTGGTGTAATGCCATGCTCAGAGAATGAGAGCAGCGCCGAGGAAGATCATGGACGCGCCGACCATGGCGAAAGGAGCCATGGAGATGGACGAAGCGGCACCGTCGGCAGGGGGAGCTGCGGCGTCACCAGTCTCGCTGGCCTCTGCACCCTCAGAGCCAGTGGCGGTCGCGCTGTTGGAGAAGGGTGTGGCGGAGGAGAAAGCAGAACCGCTCATGGAGTGCATGCTCCTGCTCTCGCTGGTGAGGCCGCTGGTCTCGCTGGCGGAGATGATGCTAGTAGATCCGGACAGGGCACTCGAGGAGGTGCTGCTCATCGACATGCTCATGTCGCTGCTCATGCTTGAGGCAGTCTCGTCGAAGAGAGCCTGGATGCGGATCTCGTGGCACTGGTCGCCGATCCACGAGTCGTACAGGTTGCCGAAAGCACCGCTCATGCAGCGCCACCAGCGGGTGCTGCCTCCTATGGCGAGCGAGTCGTTGCCGCAGACTGAGAAGCCGCCTGTGTAGATTGCGCCTGCCTGGGGAGGGCCATCGAACTGGAACTGTTGGTTGGCGACGATGGAGCCGGTGCGGCCGTATTGGTCGTGGAGGATACCGTCTTCGAGAGTGCAGAGGAGGTCGCCGTCAGATGCCTGGTGATGGTGTTAGTATGACGTTACGAGTAGGGGTCCAGGGGAGCGGCATACCTCTTGAGCAGTTTCGCGCCTCCTGAGACTGGGGTTCTCGAGTGTGCCAATTCGGAAGGGCGTCGTGACAGTCGTCTTGCAGCCCTCGGGCGCAGAGGCATCGGGAGCAATGCCCTCCTCGACGGCCTGGGCGAGGCCAGTGGCCGCGAGGAAAAGCGGAGCGAAGATGGTGGAAGTGCGCATGGTGAAGGTCGAGGATCCCTGACAAGCTAAGACCCACAGTATGGGAGGGTATGTCGTATCGTATTACTCGTGATAGTAAGAAGAGTGCGGGATAGAAGATACTCGTGATATGGGCTTGCAGCGTCAAAGTCGTGAAGAATAGCAGAAAAGCGGCGATGGGAGGGTGCAAGATAAGAGGCTGGACGCGAGGCCGGCCAGAATTATTTGTTGGTGCAACCCTCGCGCGACTTCCACACAAAGCAAGGCCCAAGGCGCAACAAGCAAGGTGTACCTGCAGATCGACGCTCAATCGGGAAAGGCCCAACGCGTGGACGTCAATGCGTAGATTGCATGTTTATCGTTGAGATCATAACCGCTTGCCGAGATGAAACATGGCCGACCATGCACCCTATAGGGATGACGCCCGTAGAACTCCTGGGGAACAATACGAGAGCCACGGCCGTCCACGTAGGGCATGGTAGAGACACAGGAAAGCGCATCGTATGCGTGCGACAGCGCCTTCTACACCCCCACCGCCACCGGCACCAAGGCAGGTACCCGCGCCGACGTTGGAACTTGCGCCTGTCAACGCCTGCCCACTAATTTGCTAGCCCTCTGGGCACTCGAGGACAAGATCTGGGCAAACATCGCCATCGGCATTCGATTCCGTCGCACCATGGCCAGCGCAGCGTTTACGGTTACACGGCACTGCCGTCATCGCATTGTGTTTGCCCATTCTACACGAAACTGCCTTCCACATAACCTCCCGCCTGCAAACCTACCATTTCCAGGCTGCCATGTCATTAAACTGCCGCTCTGCCTGGATCTTGTGCATGCTCACCGTCATGTCCTGTGGCGTCATACCTGCCCCAGTCTGCGTGGGTCCCGAGGTAGGTGCGGTAGAGTGCGTGTGCGCCGGAAGAACATCGGGGTCGACTGCCATCGCAGCCTTCGTCTCCTCACACACGCGCCCGATCGCAAATGTCTGAATTGCTGCAGCTCTGGCCTGCAGTGCTGGCATTTCTGTTTTGTCCCGCTTGTTGAGGTCGGGGTGATTCAGCACCCCCGGCTTATACGTGTCTGCGCACAGTGCCATCAAATCACCGATATCTTCTGGCGCGTGCATCATCTCAAGAAAGAAGAATTTGTACCATCCCGCCCGGTTTAGAGCCGGCATGTACGTTGTGTATGTTGTCATCGGCGTTGGCACATCAGCGATTACTTTTGCATCTTGCGCATGTGAATGTTGATTAAAGTTCCAGTTTGGTGTCAGGTCGGATTGGCAGGGCACCATGATGTGGGGGATCCCCTCGAGACTCCACAGCTTTGCAAAAGCGCTATAGGACCTGTAGCAAAAAAGACCTGACTTCACATTAGTCTTGCATCATCTGTCGGCAATTCAGACACTCACGACACGCGTCTTCGGTCAATTTCACCCAGCTTCCGATGATCTTTGGTGCTTCCAGAAGGCCCGTGTTCTTTGGCTCAAACTTCCGGTCCAGAGCGTCAAAAAGCAAATCGGCCAGAATGTAGAACTCGCGTGTTGGAACTTCAGTGATCGCATCTGCAAACCTCCACGGATCAGCCAGTGGAATCGTGCTGACACTGAACGACCGCCGAGGAATGGTAAAGCCAGGCGATGGCGATCCAGTCGGAGATAGCGAAGGGTGGAAGGCTTGATATTGCGAGCTTGAGACCGATGTTTCTTGTTCCTTCGGCTTCGATTCTGCAATAGTCAAATTTCCAAGATCTGCAGGAAGCTCTGCAACGAACTCGTGTGGCGCAGCATATTGTGTCTGATGCGGTGCAGGCGTTGACGACTGACTTGACTGTGCAGGCTTGTTTGACGGCACTTGAGGTGGCGGAGGGCTGACGGAGTGGGCAGGCATCTGCGACTGTCCTTGGCCGTATGCACCACCTGGAGACGGGCTATTCCACTGTTGCTGTGGATGAGGTGGCGGACTTGCCGCAGTGATGTTCTGCTGTGTGGAATATGTTGGGGAACCCGACTGCTGCCCGGTAGCCTGTTCCCATTGTGGCTGCATGGGCTGGGCGGGTATCCCTGGAGACATAGTCGAAGTGTGGGGTGGTGGTGTATGCCGCACAGCATTGTAGCCTCCTACTACTCCCGTCTGCTGTCCAGTATATTGGCCAGATTCATGTGTCGGCTGTGGGACAGGCGCCTGAGGCTGACCCGGCGGCGCCTGATTCTGCCCATTGTATCCGTGTGTCTGTGTATGCTCCGCTATCCCGCCGCCTTGACCGTATTGCCATGAAGTATGCCCCGTGCTAGTGAGCGGCGACTGTGGTGTATGAGACTGTGTGTTGGGTGCTTGGGTGGTTTGCGGTGGGAAGTAGTTGGTCTGCCCCGAGTGGCCGGAAGCGGGTGTAGAGTAGCTGGGTTGCTGATACGCAGACTGCTGCGAAGGTGGGTAGGCATTCGGCGCTTGAGGTGGGGGTTGTTGCTGCGTAGGTGCCCATTGCTGATGTTGCGACTGAGGGCTGAAAGCTTGACCCTGAGGTTGCTGGTATAGTTGATTCTGGCTCTGCTGCCCAAAGTGAGTCTGATAACTCTGATAGCTCTGAAGATGCTGCGGTGGGCCCCCTGAAGGCTTGTTCCCTAGCTTTGAGCTTATAGTCTTGCCCAGCTTGTTCAGCATTGGCTTTCCTGTTGTCACCGCCTGCTCAAGCCGCTGGTTCATCATCTGGCCAAACGTTCCCCCTCCCTTCTGAGATTGGTATTGTGCTCCATAGGTCGTCGTACTGGGCTGATAGCTCGAGGGCTGCTGGGCGCCTTGCGATTGCGCTGGGGAGCCTTGGGATGGGGGAACGTAGACCCCCGGGGACGGCATCGAGTGGTACTGCGACATGGCTTACGACGTAATATCAGTGAACTCTAGAGCGAGCATAAGACGCTCTGTTGTCGTTACAGAGGCACCGCACTGCAGCGCACAAAGCTCGTTACCGCAGATGGGCATCAGCCGCACCGTATGCGGCGCTTGGCAACAAGCCATTGAGTCTAGGGTTAGCGAAGACATTATCGTTAGTATGGTGATCGAAATATGTGGGCGATTATGAAGGCATGAACTGATGCGTCTATCAAAGTCATGATAGCAGGTAGTCGGGTGTTTGGTGTTGACCAGACGCGTGGATTACTTTTGCGGAAGTGACGGCATGCTGGACCCTGCAAGCTGCCCAGGACCGAGGTGGAGCTGCGAACCGAAATGGTCACGCTTTGATACGTCAACTGCAAAACATCACACAAGCTCTACAACCATAACACACTCATAGCTTTACTGGATATCTTCGATCTATATGAACACGACAACTTCAGTGTATGGCAGAATCCACGCGACTCATACCTCCAACTTCAACCAGGATCTTGACATGGTTCTCCTTGTCGTTGATCAGGGCTTTGATCCCGCCTTCTACCAGATCCTCCAGACTAATCTTGCTGGTAATCATCTTCATGGGCTTCAGAGTACCTGAGGACATGTCAGCATCCGGGGATAATAATTTTGGCTTACCGCACAACTTACCGGCAGCTAGATGCTCAATGACGGCCTCGAGGTCCTTTCTTTGGTAGCCCAAAACGGCTGTGTACTGCGCCTCCCGGAACACGAGCATATTCGGGTTGAACGGAACCTCCTTCTCCCAAATCGCGACGTTGACGACCGTCCCTCGAGCGCGCACCGCCGTGCAAGCAGTCGTGAGGCTTGCGGGAACGCCAGCGCAATCGAATACCACATCCGGTCCATCCTTCCCACTCAGAGCCTTGCTCATCTTCGCAACATCGTATGTCTTGGGGCAGAGGACATGATGCGCGCCGAATTCCCTTGCGAAGCGTTGCCGCGCGCCCGACACCTCACTCACGATGATCTTCTTCGTGCCCAGTGCCTTGAGACATTGGACGATTGCCAGCCCGATCGGTCCACCGCCTAGCACCATGACAACGGAATCGGGTGTCAGTGGGGCAGCTGAGATAGCATGCCACGCAACAGCCAGTGGCTCCACCAGCGCGCCGACGTCGAGCGGTACGTTGGTGGGCAAGTTCAATACTGCGCCTTCAGGCACAACGACTGAATCGCTCAAACCGCCACCTCCTCCCGAGAGCCCGATGAAGCCTCCATTTTCGCATACGTTTTCTGAGCCTGCTTTGCACGCCTCGCATTTGCCGCAATATATTGTTGGTTGAACGACGACATTTTGGCCCACCGTAAAGCTCGAGTTATTCGAGCCCACTTCAGTCACAGTCCCTGAGAACTCATGCCCCAGGGTAATAGGAATCGTCTCGTTTGTACACGGGTGCGGTGTCGTCGGCGCGAAATTAGGTCCTCCGAGGTATTCGTGAAGATCCGTACCACAGATGCCTACGAAGGCCGGTGCGACCTACACACTATCAGTCATCGCACAATGCGCTTCCAAAGCCTCAAACACATACCCTGACTTGTCCCGCCCCGCACTTCTGCTCATCCACATCCTCAATCCTGATGTCCTCTTTCCCGTAGTATCTTGCTGCGCGCATGGTGAATGTAGAAGCCCGGTCTTGATCACCCCAGTTCGGTAGTCCCATAACTTGGATTCCTCTCGATCAACGACCGTATTTACAAATGCGCTTTCAATAGCAGATGACATGACACGATCTGCACCTCCGCTTTACCAACTCTAAAAAGGAGCGACCTCGGTTCCGCTTCTCGGAACGTATGCGCACAGCCCCCAGGTGTACATGTGATCTAGAAGAGGGTACCTAGGTACCCACTGTTGCCGCCGTGCCGCCCTACATATCTATGTATGTAGCGGATTCTGGGCGAATGGCCAAGCCCGGATTACGGGCATCGTGAGGCGACGCGGCTCGCACAAGAGGGCCGCGTCCGCTTGCACGCTGGGGTATCATCGGGAGCGGGGCTGGCATAGTCACGATATCAGGAGATATCTCCGTGAGTCCCGTATACCCGGCTGCCAGTGGTGCCATGCGAATGGGTTCGGTGGAGTTGGCGCGAGGCTAGGTTTGCGGGGGCGGGGAAATTGTGGAATGACTAACTTTGGTAACCCGGATGCTGGGCTCTTGCTTTGTTGATCCGACTTGGCTCTTGTGCTCCTTCCCTTCGGAGAACAACAGCTTCAGACTTCTCTCAAGGAATTCTCACAGCTCTGAACGCTCAGTATCGACATGATCAGTTTTCTCGTATCCCATCGGCCTGCAGAGCTTGCCGGATAGTGTAACTTGGCTACACCTTGTATGCGCAGTCGCGCTTGATCGCGCAGAGTGTCGCGCGTTCATTCCCTCTCCTCATTTTACCGTACACAAGCAACAACCTAGACAGATAATTGCAGACTAGATGAGTATTGAAGGTCTCTACAAAGTTCCCAAGCGATGCAGACTTCTAGGTCGCTTACTTTTGTCATTCTTTCGAAACGGCATGGTACAAAGTTGTTGCCTATTGCAGGGCCCCGCATAGCCATCCCCGATGCTCAGCCTCACCAGCGTCCGTCAACATGTCAATCCGCAAGGTCATTTAAAAAACGAACTTTTTAACTCCTCATCACAAAATTCTGTTAGGCTGGAGATGCGACCGTTCACTTATATCCATGAGTCTGTCCTATACGCTTGGAACGACAGCGCCCGCCTGCGTCGCTGGGTAAAGCGCTTCACATGCCCATGTCTGGGCTATTGTTACTGCACTCGCTCAGCCGGGCTCCGCGACTGCACTAGGCGGAATCGGAGAAGAAAACAAGAAGAGCGCGTCCGCGTCATGAGCGAGGTAAAGCAGGCGCGGCGAGAGCGGGCCATGGCAAACCGAAAGCGAAGTGTGTCTGTGGACGGGAAGCACACCAAGATGCCGTTTACGAGACGGAAGAAAACCGTGGAGCAAAACCAGAGTGACTTCTTCGCAAAGTTACCAACGGAATTGCGATTGAAGATCTACGGCATGGTATTTCGCGATATTGAGAACATTCTTGTGGATGCAGATGATGGCGCACAGGATGATATGTTCAAGTTCAGCGCCGACCCTGGACGCTCAACAGGCATTCTACGTACCTGCCGCAGAATGTAAGTACCCGCACACTCGAATTTCGGTACATGACCTAATCGTCTCGCCAGCTACCGCGAAGCAGTCAACTTGCTATACTCTGAGATCGACTTCACCTTCACAAGTTATAGACGTTTCATCCTCTTCACTCGCTCGATCCCACAACCACGCTTAGCTAGCATCAAGCGCATCACCATCGGGCATATCTATCCGAGCTGGACTCCTTTAGTCACAACCGAAGAGGAGCGTTACCGCCTTAGCTACGAATACGACGACTTTTTCACCGCTATCAGGTTGTTGCCCAGACTCGAATTCCTCGACCTACACTTTAGGGCAGATACTTGGCATGTTCATCCCTATAAGCGCCTGGACAATATTGAATTGTTGGATGAGATTGAGCAAAGGTGGGATAGGGTTGGCGTTGAAGTATGGTATATCATACGTGGGTCTCCGCTGGAATTAGAGAGGTTACGGGAATGGGAGTATGATAGGAAGAAGGATAGAATATCTTGGGCGAGGTGGAAGATCCATCGTTACCAGCACACCAGATTGTTTTGATAGCATTAAGATGCGTATTTTTGCAGAAAGTATCGAAAGAGGAGTTCAATATCCATAGTAACAGGCCTATGATGAATAGGTCTGCGACCAGCGTTCAGAGTATGTGTTGACACCAAACTGTAGGCCTTGCGACGCCTGTAAAGACAGCCACACCAGCCAAATGGTCTTACCAGCAGTTGGACCAAGACTCCGCCAATATACGCTACCTAGGTACCTGGCCGGCACATGCTTGCCTGACGAAGCCACCAATGGACAGGCCCCCACCAACTGCGCCTCCCTTGCAGGATCAAACAAGGCGGCCCACAACACATATCTTCAGCCGGCATCGCCCCATCTCAACATGTACAACATTCAGACAACACGATGCCAATTTTTAGACTCATCAAAGATGCCATAATATACACATGGCACACTAACTCCACCCTGCGCTTCTGCTGCAAACTCGTCACTTGCCCTCTCTGTGGTCTGTGTTATTGGCTCAGATCCCTCGAACCCATCACCTGTGTTAAACGTCCCCCCGGCCGTCCATCTACAGCACAGCAAAGGCGATATGACACCTTGGCCAAAATCGAACATCGGAGACGCATGCGTGCTTTGGAGAAGAGAAAGCGCAGTGTTTCGGTTGACAGAACCCGGGGGGCATGGAGGAAGAATACGGAATATCAATCGCAAAGTTTGTTCTTTACCAAGTTGCCTGCGGAGTTGAGACTGCAGATCTATGCGATTGTGCTCTCTGGGCAGGAGGAAGTGGGGTTGAGGTTTAATCGCGAGGAACTTTGGGATCTTTGGAGGATAAAGGCGGTGTCAGGCTGCAGTATGGAGATGCTGAGAACTTGCAAGAAAATGTTTGTTTGCTTCCTCGCTTTCGGGGCAGTCTCGTTGAGCAGAAGACTTACAAAAGGCACAGGTACCGCGAGGCCATTCCGGTGCTCTACTCCAATAACACGTTCAAATTCGACAATAACAAGATGCTGTCTATCTTCACGTCGACAGTCCTTCCGCAACGCCTCGCCCGGATCCGAAATATCGTTATCGATGATACATGGTCTTCGTCTTGGTAAAGCGGCGTTGACAGTTTCGATCACTGTGATGGCCTTTGTGTGTCGCTTGGGGGTTTCGCAGATCTTAGGAAAGTGGTACTGAGGTACCGTCTACGCGAGAATGAGTACAGGATGACTCCCCACCTGAGGGACTTTGCTCTGCTTGACAGACTGGAGAAAGAGGAGAGACCAAGAGGGTATGAGTTGTTTTATGAGATCATAGATGTTCACCCTGGGCCGAAGATTGAAGGTATGTTGTTTGATCGATGGGTTGTTGGTGAGAGAAAGAGTATACGCAGGGTGAACTCAAATGAAGGCGAGGAATGAAAGCTCCTGCAAGCATCAGGAAGGACGAGGAAATAAAGACATGCTGGGAATGTGTATTCAGACGAGGATGACCTTTCTCTTCTGCTCAGGCTTGATGTCCAACGTGTCCAGTACATGTCCGTAAGTTTTATCGGCTGTCTGCCCGATGCCTATTCGCTCGTAGCAGGTCTCCGCAAAGCGGCGCGACTCAACAACCAGCAGGAAGTAAGTAATGGGAGTGTTATTGAAGGTTGTGTCCACTCTCTGAGATACGATGAGAGCCGTGCATTGGGCAATGCAGCTTTCTGGGATGCGATCATGATAGCCTGTACCGATGCAGACACCACGCTCGTCGAATATATCGACGACCATGCGAAGATAAGGGTCGCTGTATGGCGCACTTCCGTCTGAGCACGAGCGGCAGACGACGTTGAGGCAATAGGCCTCCAGCATCAGAAAGCTATCCCCAGTATGCGCAAAAGAAGTAACGGCTCGCTCGAGCTTGGGTTGGTGTTCAAGCACCGTGGCTGCAAGTTGGGTGGTCATCGCCCTTGATTCGCGACTGAACATCATGTTTACTGGGCCATCCAGAGAAGCCCACGACCAAGAAGGTGGACTGGAGACAGCGGTAGCCCGTCGAAGGGGCATGAGCGATCCGTCGGCATACCACAAGAGGCCGGCATGAACATGTTCATTCCACAAGCCAGCCTTGTATGTGAAATGGGTGACTTCGCGGAATATCTGCGCAATGCCAGCAATCGCCATGAAGACATCGCTACGATATGTGAGACTCAGCCGAGAGTATTGGCATACAATGCGGTACCATTGCATCATGAAGGCCTCGCTCTCCGGCACATGTCTGCCGAACTCCCCCACAGCCGAATTGTTGGCGAAAGTAAGGCAGCGCTTGAAGCTCTCGTTGGACCACTCGCCCTCTTGCCATGCTTCTGGGTTCTCCTCCACACTCCCTTCTCTTGCAGAGGTCTCGAGACACTCCCAGAAGATCTCGTTCTTCTCGAAATGCACGACTCTCCTTGACAGCAGTCGCTCCTGCAATACCCATGCTCGTTTATTCAGTGGGGATTCTGAAAGAACTTCGCTCCAAGTGGGCCGCGCTCGACGAAGATGAAGGTTCTCACCCAGACCGATCGTTGATACTGACTCTCGAAGTTTGAGGAAGCCGACATGGGAGTCTTGTGCGCTCAGTATAGAGACTGTGACGAAAGCATCTCGGTAGTAGCTTCCCATATTGCTGATGTCCAGGTCGCGGCTCGCAGTGTGGTCTTGCACGATACAAAGTGCATCGACCCAAAGTAGCTTAAGGCCCAACCTTCGGGTAGCGTAGATGGCGTCTCGAAAGTTTTGCGGGAGGTAATGGGTGTCCAGACCAGTTTTGAACCCTTCCACTGTTGCCCTTAAGGTGGCTGACATAGTGCCCGCAGCACCCCAGCAGTGGCTGAGTGCGGCATAACGCGTGTCGCCTCTACAGGACGATCCATATACCAGCTTCAACGTCTCCACGTTCAGCAGTATGTTTGGCATCGACGGTGATTCTTCTTGATGACAGCATGCATGAGTGGACGTGCACCTGTCGAGCCATGTATGTATCAAATGCCAGCACGGTTCGGAATCGGCGTGCGAGTGGATCCGTCTGAAGAATGTCTGGTTGCTTGGGTGCTTGCCTGTTCAGTGTCAGCCTCTCATCGGTAGCTTCGTATCGCTGCTACCTACGCTCAGTGAATATCTCGAACCGATGCAATGTGTTACTAAAGTCGATTACTGCTAGACATGGTCCATGCCGAGCTACTTCAAGATGGGCGTCTTCAACGGAGCGTCCTAAAAAGCCAACGACAAGCTCCTCATAGAAGTATCTACAGAGAGTACAGCCTCGCGCAGCCGCTATTTTTAGAGGTTTCGCGTAGTACTGTTGTGTCGTGTCGTGTTTCGCGACTAGGCGGCAGGTGGCACACAAGTTGGTGGTATTCCAAGGAACGAGGAAGGTTGAAGTAAGTACAGCCATGCTTAAACGAGAAGTAAACGAGAAGTCTGGAAGGCTTAATTGTAATCATCTTGAAGTACATTGAGTCTTCCGTGCCACAGAAATCGATTGGTGGCTGAGGGCCGTCAGGGTCTTCCCACAGCCACATTAGCGGCACATGCGTGACCTGGTCGCCGCGTCTGCCTGGTATAAGAGACACTGAATAGGAGGACTCGAGTGTCGACAATCAACAGCAGTCGTAATGGGGGTGGCGCATGCGTGATGAAGGAAGTCGCAGTGTTGACGGTGCGAACCACAAGGCTGCTCCCAGTGCAGGGGTTCTCGCCAAAACAGGCATCGACCCGCGCATGTCGTGAGTAGACCCCATCCATCATGACTTTACTCACACTGCGTGACTACGCGCTACGGCTACATGTAATTCTGCATGTAATTTTGGTACGTGTAATCAGACAGACCAGGCATGGTGGAAGTAACTTGAACGCGGTGGTGGAGTAGCCGGATCTGACAAACATGAGTCCGAGAGTCGCTGCCTGTGTACTTCCTGCGCCCAAGGATTTACGAAAGGACGACCGGCGTCCAGCGAGACCGTGATACATCAACCCCTCCATAGCTAAAACCCATGAACGATTTTGGGTTGCGCACCTGAGGTTGTCCGAAAGGTTTTCGCTGTGAAGTTTCGCAGGCGTCCTCTAGGGAGCGCTTTCTCTCACACTGCAACCCTTTTGGTTTCCGTATTCGAGATCTTCTTCGCTGAGATGGTCAAGCGAAGCTGACGTTCAATTTCGAGCTTAAGATCTATCCCGCTGTTTGACGAATGAAATCTCTCTCAAGGAACAAGAGTGTGAACAAATCGACGATCGCGCTAGACTAGGCGCAGGGAGTGCCGGCAGCCATCGGAGCCACAACTGCCTCAAAACCAGTCGGAAGCCAGGCACGAGGCTTTTGAAACTCCTTTTGAACCATGCTTGGATAGACTAACCTATCGCTCCTGCCGAAGCAGAAGAAAGGTCAGCTGTGGCTAAAAAACAACGGGCGGCAAGATAGTCCCGGGCCTCGAGATCGCAGAAGGGGCGGGTGCACTAGCCGCGTTCGGCTAGGCTGAAGCACCAGCAGAGATCTGGCCACGACGCTGCTTGAGGCTTGACAGGCGAGCTATGCATGCCAATCCACTGCAGTCCTGCCGTGATGCCTCATCTATGCTAGTCTTTGTTTTTCGCTGGCTATGCCTCCGCATCAATGTACCCCGTGGTTGCGGAAAACTTTCAGGGATGGGCTCAGCTCGCTGCGTTGAGCCCCAGCGACTCAGCGCTCCAAGGCGGCATCTGTCTGGCATCGCGAAGCCATCGCCTGCATACTTGAAGCGTATTCGCAGGTCCCCACCCACCAGACAGTGCGTCGTGCCTTACCCTTGAACGGCATGTCCCGGAGAACACTGTAGGGGTCCATGGGTTCGATAGTCCAGACTCTGGACAGAGTAATCTGCATGGCCTGCGCGGTCTAGATTCTCACGAGACGTCTGGCTTGCCACTCATGGAGCCGTTGACCCCGGGACCGGCACCAACGATGAACTGTGGCTGAGATGTATACTGGCGCAGCAGCCCGCGGGTCCGTACCATAACATCTTTCTCTTGTCTGGTCGCGCTATCGACATCATTATGGCGGTAGAGCTTGAGCAGCCTCACCTCTCTTTCCTCACGAATCCGACGGGCGACGCAGCCATCGACGCCGACTTGCAATACATTCGGGACTTGGACTGGGCCAGAACCGCCGCCGGACTCATTTCATCGTGGCCTCGCGAGTTATTGTTACTCATCCACGTCGCTATGCTCTCTCCTCAACCACAGCTCTTCTTGCTTGGCTCGGATTCGACCGTTCTTTACAACACAGCGTATGGTCGACTGCTGCATGACCACCATCCGCTGTACCAAGGGCGACCTATAAGTCTCAACACAGCTCTAATTCAACAGCTTCCCGAAGTCGATATACTGAGCGGATACGCAAGCGAGAAGTCTGAATTGAATAGCGATCAACATATACCGTTCTTCTTCTCCCGAAATGGTCGCCTCGAGGAAGTTTTCTTGTCCATCACTACGACAGGCCTACCGCCGTCCCTGGGCGGCTTCCACGCCACAACCTACAACGTTACCCGAGACGTGTTGGAAGTTCGCCGCGAGCGTTCTTTAGACGAGTTCCGCAATGCTTGCGAGACTGCTTCGGACTTGGATACGCTGTGGCCTTCAATTTTGAAGGGTATATCTAACGGAGATGGGGACATATCGTTCGCTGCTTTATACCGCATCGAGACGAGCCAAGACAGTGTGAGCGAGACTGGTCCTTCCAACGATCAGACCAATTCGCTAGCCTTTGCCCTCTCTGGCACCGTTGGTTCCTTCCCGGCCGCACCCTTATCCGCAATCGAGCCAAGTGTGGATGAAGCATGGGTGAAAAGCTTCTTCAGGAGTGTCGATTCTCGTTCGCCGGTACTTCTCCAGGCTGAGAACGGTACTCTTCCCAAGGAAATGTGTGAAGCATCTACGAACCGATGCTATGGCGACATCTGCCACCAGGCTGTTATATTGCCAAGTGTCTCGAACCGGACTGCCAACGTTCATGCTGTCTTAATCGTCGGTCTGGCACCTCGTACACCTTACGACCGCTCCTACCAAGCTTGGATCAAGACACTCCATCGTGACTTCTCCCACGAGGTGATCTCGATGGCAAACGTTGAAGCTAGGAGCCGTACTGAGAAAATCCGGAGAGAAAGCATTGCTATAGGAAATGACATTTTCGCGAAAGAGGAAGCCCTCAGACAACAAGAGCTTGCTCGTGCAGCAGCTCTGGAGCAGCTCCATCTCAGCGAATCGCGGCTGCAAGAAGCCGTGGAGGCCAAACGGCAACAAGAGAAGTAAATGACAACCTAGTTAGGGTGTGCTTCCATTTGCTAACAGGGCGAAGCTTCGTTGACATGGTGAGCCATGAAGTACGCTTTGGATTCCGGATGGGTCGTTGCATGTCCTAACATACCGCAGATTCGAAACCCTCTTAGTGCTGTTATGCACTGTGCGGATTCCATAGCCCACTCGCTCTCTGAAGTAAGACTTCTCCTCAACGAGTGCGAGAAGCGAAGCGTACCCGATAATGACAGCTCCCGCACCGCCAATGACTTGCGAAATCTTAACAGCAGTATTGGCGATGCTGTCGATACGATCATGGCGTGCACCATGCATCAGAAACGTATCATCGATGACATCCTCTCGCTCTCCAAACTGGATTCGAATTTGTTGGAGATCTGTCCGACAGTCTTCCACATCAAGACTTTCCTGAATCAAGTCGAAAGCACTTTCAGAGCTGAGGCTGAACAGGCTGGAGTTCAGCTTGTAGCTATAGCTGATCCCTCATTGAGCGAGCTCGGCGTTGATTGGATCGATGCTGATCCGGGGAGAGTGACACAAGTACTATTCAACATGGTCGCCAATGCAATCAAGTTCACCAAGGATAGACCCGACGAAAGAGCTGTCACTGTTCGTATCGGAGTAGCAGCTTGGCCACCCACTGCTATCTTCGACGGACTCATCAAAGCAGTCCAAAAGAGTGAATCGACTGATCAACCGGTACTCGACGTTCAACCGTCGGACGGGTCAATATTCTTGTGGTTCAAAGTCGAAGATACAGGGTGCGGAATGGATGAATCGACTAAAGCGCGTGTCCTCAGCCATTTCAGCCAGAACATGCCCAAGACATACAGCAAATACGGCGGTTCCGGGCTGGGTTTGTCCATCAGCAAGAAATTGGTGGGCTTGCTGGGTGGCGAGATTGGCTTCCAGTCTCAGCAACACATCGGGTCGACATTTGCTTTCTATACAAAAGCATCTAGGGCTCTACCGCCGAGACCGTCTCTATCTACTAGAAGCTCCGAAAAGTCCATCACTACCGAAGTACCAACCTCGCCGCTGCCTCATGCGATGGGTACCGCTGCGGATGCGCCGCCGACCACCCAATCTAGCATCCTGCTTGTAGAAGACAACATGGTCAACCAACGGGTACTTAAGAAACAGCTGCAACTCCAGGGCTATATCGTTTACACAGCCGACAACGGCCAAGAAGCGTTCGACTTCATCAAAACTACGCAACACTGGAAAGGCTCGACCTCATCGCAACCACGCGTCGACGAGCCACGTATCGACGTCATCCTTATGGACATTGAGATGCCCATTGTCAATGGGCTTGAGTGCGCGAGTATGATTCGCGCTGCGCAGGAAGACGGGTCAATCGATAAGCATCTACACATCATCGCTGTTACTGCAAATGCAAGACCCGAGCAACTGAAGCGCGCGCGAGAGACTGGAATGGACGACGCAGTTCCGAAGCCCTTCCGCGTGCGAGACCTCGCAGCTGTTATAGAGCAATTGAGAATTGAGTGATTGGACCAGAGGATGCCTTAAGGTGAAGCCGTGACCAGCGCGCCTTCCCGTTTCGTCTTGTTTGGCTTTCACCTCGCCAGGGTCTAAATGCTTGGCGTGACAACTACGTTGCAACCTCGCATGGTGGCTTTCAAGATGTTCATATAGTGCAGTCACCTCGATACGACTCAAGGTATGTTGCGTAATAGCTGAGCATGCGCCCATACTAATCAACGACAGATGAGCTTCAATCTAGACGCACTCTTTCACGTTGCTGACGACTTGCGTCCCGAGACCTTTTCGCTTAGCCTGTCGGTACGCAAGGCGCCTGTTGTAGAGCCCGCGGGAGGCCTATGGCAGGAGAGCGCAGTCGATGAAGAGCAGGAAGCGAAAGAAGATGAAGAGGCCCGTCTGAGAACTACCATCGCAACCTTGAGTCAGCAATGCGAATACTGGAAAGGGCAGGCTGAGGAACGAGGCAAGACCATCGACGATCTGGACCGCAGGACTGCCAAAACCGCTGCTGGATCTGATCTTCCGACTGACACCGTACGCCGTCTCAACCGCCTGGAAAGTGAGGTTACGCGTCTGCAATCCGAAAACACGCAACTGAAGGACACACTCAAGACCATCGAGTACGAAAATGTCAATCTGGGCAATCAGAACGATGGAAAGACGCGGAAGCTGAAGGGTGCCAACAAGAAGGTCAAGATTGCTAAGGACATGGCGGGGAAGGAGGAAGAGAAAGCCAAAGACGCCCAAGGTGACAAGCAACGCCACCTCGCATCCGAACGCAGGATGAAGAAGGAACGCGGTGATGCTTTGGCTGCACTCCAGCAACAGAGAAAGCTCAACGGTGATCTGCGCGCGGAGCTTGAGGTCGAGCAGTCGGGTGCACCTCACATGCGCGATGCGGCTGCGGACCCGAACAACACCACTGTCATTATTCCGATTCAGTTTGAAATCCGTCGCACCGATGTACAACCTATTATGAGAGTCCTTCAGTGGCACCAGACGAATCTCACCGAAAGGTTCAAAGAGTGGTACAAGGACTGGAAGAAGGCAGCTACCGGCGAGGTACGCAAAGTCGTCGGCTCGGAGGGTGTGGATGATGAGAAGAAGAAGCTTGAAAAGCTGTATGGAGATATGATTGAGATGCCTGATGGTTATATGGAGACTGCTGCTGAGCACGATGGTTGGCGTTCGAAGCGCGCCGTGCAGGCGGTTTGTCGTCATGCTGAAGCGCGACATAACGGAGAGATGTAGGTGTCGGAAATAGTGGCTTCTTACAGGTTCCTACGTCTGCCTTCCTGCCTGATATGTAGTATTGAACGATACGCAACCAAAGAATCTGACGTACTGTCCACGGCCTCACACACAGCTCGCTTTCCCAACTCGTGCTCTATGATTGACTTCACTCCTCCTTTCCATCTGCAGGCGCTGAGCTTCCCAGTCCGGTGAGACAAACACAAGGCACTACTAAGTTTGCCGAGTAAAAGTAGTTGAAAATCCCAAGAGTCGTTGTATTGTGAAAGTCGTGTGTTAGCTAAGCACCGAAGATGATCCCTAGCATCCTCGACCCGCGGCAGGTCTGACGCACGACGCACGACCCTCCGACCCACATCACTCCGCCAAACAACACCGCCAGGGTTCAATAGCGACCATGTCCAACATCCTGCCCCTACACCACTCGTACTACCCCTCGCGCCAGTCGTCTCTCTCGCGGTCCGTAGACACTGCGCAAAAGCCATCGACATCCTCCTCTGCAGCCACAATCCGTCCGCAACCCGGCACACAATCGCAACCACAAGAGCAGCACATCGCAATGAGCGGCACCCCAAGTCAAGGGCCTGGGCTGCGGTATCCGTCGAATAAGAAGAGCATATATGACAGGAACCTGAACCGGAGTAAGAATGCAGAGCTTAGTAGAGCTGCGTTTGCGTACCTCTTCATTGAGATGATTGCGTATGCGCAGAAGGGCGCGAAGGATGTGGGGGACTTGGAACAGAGGTACGCTAGATGCATGCAGCTGCTGAACTTCACATATGCACTGCGACATAACGCATTGGGTTTCTAGCTGAACGTGTTCTGACACCATCTAGACTGAATACACAAGGCTATCCCATTGGCCTCCGCTTACTCGACCTTCTCCTCTCCCGAACCGCCAACCCCCTCGCCAGCATTCGGCCCACGCGTATCCTGCCTCTCCTCCAGTTCATCGCACAACAGCTATATCGCTACCTGTTCGGTCGACCCGCGGACGCATTAGAAAAGTCTGGCACCGACCCAGGACAGTACATGCTCTTCGACAACGACCCGATGGTGAACCAATACATAAGTCTGCCTAAAGAACTGTCGAGTTTGAACTGCGCGGCCTTTGTTGCGGGCATAATTGAGGGTGTTTGCGATGGTGCGGGGTTTCCGACCGAAGGCGTGACAGCGCATAGTGTGGGTGACGAGGAAGGCAAGGGTCTATGGCCTGGAAAGACGGTCTTTTTGATCAAGTTCAAGCCTGAGGTATTAGAGAGGGAGGAGATACTGGGCAGGGGTGGGGGCTGAGCTTTGAAGGGTCACTTAATTCTCGAAAGGCAGCTGGATTCAACTGCTCATGATGGCATAGCGAGGCGTTGTGGACTTTCTGGAATTCAAGGTTGCTACCAGTCACCATGTATACCATTGCACTACCGAATCAACTTCCACGAGACTATCCGTCAGTTTAGAACAGGTCCCCATTTCATGACTGGTGACTCCGCTCAAAGGTCCCGTACGCACGTTGCGCCAGCATATATAGCCTCTCCCACGCAGACTGCTATCACCGACTACTGGATGCGGCAAGCGCATCGACACGTGATCGTGAAGCTGATGACAAATGCTGATTGGCCAGACCATCCGTGGTATGGCGCATCTATTGGAAAGAACCTTCCACAAGGTTGCGCCATCGCAGTCCATTAAAATACAAAGGTGCAGTCTGAGTCTTACAACCACTTCAATACACTACAGCCGCCTTTCAACAGCCCTCCAGCAAGACACAACACTCAAATTACTCAACACACAACCGCAGCACGCCGCCCCGACAAGTACCCCAACATCAACCATGCCAACAGAGATCTCAGCACCCCTACACTTCCGCACTCTCCTAAACGGTCACACATATCTCATCGCCGACTTCTACGCAACATGGTGTCCACCTTGCAAGCAAATCGCGCCCATCTACAACCAACTCTCTACCGCACACACCTCACCAGGGAAATTCGCATTCGTAAAAGTCAACGTGGATGAGCAGAGAGAGATCGCGGGGCAATATGGTGTCACAGCTATGCCGACGTTCATGGTCTTCAAGGATGGAAAGAAGATTGAGGAGATCAGGGGCGCGGATGTGAGGGCGCTGAAGGCTGCCGTGGAGAAGGTTGCTGGTGAGTTGGGGAAGGTTAAGGATGAGAAAGTGGAGGCGAAGAAGCCTGAGGTCAAACCAGAGGTCAAGGAGGACAGCAAGAAGGAGGAGGATGAGAATACCGTTAGTGGGAGTTATGGGATGACTGGAGGGAACAATTGGAAGATGTCGTTGCATTAGATATGGAAGACGTTTGGGAGGTGATAGCCACATGCAGGTCTGGAGGGCGATGTCTTTGTGATACCCAGGAATTGAATGCATATTGTAGTAAACATTTACCAACAGCTATGTACGCGATTAAGACCGTGATTAGTATACGTGATCACTATCCAGTGTACGTCATCCTGTCGCGTTGGTGTTGGATTTGTAAAGTTGAGACGCGTAAGGACACCTTTCAGACTAGCGATCGCCACCGCGGGACCCTGATAGCCGCTGTGCTGCTCTAGCTCCCCACCAGATTTCCCACCGCTCTTCAACACACATTTGGAGCTTCAACTCATCCTTGAGCTTCATACACTTTCAAGATGCTTTTCCGCAATTTAATACCCGCAGCCATTGCGCTACTGCCCGCGATTGCCTCGGCATCGGCCGTCATCGACCTCACACCCTCCAACTTCGATGATGTCGTTCTTAAGTCCGGCAAGCCCGCCCTTGTAGAGTTCTTCGCTCCCTGGTGCGGCCACTGCAAGAACCTCGCCCCCGTCTACGATGAGCTCGCTGGTGTCTTCCAGCACGCCGGAGACAAGGTCAGCGTCGCGAAGGTCGACGCCGATGCCCACAAGTCGCTCGGCAAGCGTTTCGGTGTCTCAGGCTTCCCTACCCTCAAGTGGTTCGACGGAAAGAGCGACAAGCCTACGGATTACAGCGGCGGACGTGACCTCGAGAGCTTGAGCAAGTTCATCACAGAGAAGAGCTCGGTCAAGCCTAAGGTCAAGGGCAAGCTGCCTAGCCAGGTCGTCTACTTGGACGACAAGACCTTCAAGGAGAAGGTTGGAAAGGACCAGGATGTGCTCGTTGCCTTCACTGCTCCATGGTGTGGACGTATGTCCTCCTAGCCCCCTCTCTAGGAATGTCTCATAGCTAACATCTTGACAGACTGCAAGACCCTCGCCCCCGTCTGGGAGACCCTCGCCAACGACTTCGTTACCGAACCCGGTGTCTTGATCGCTAAGGTCGACGCTGAAGCTGAGAACTCTAAGGCCCTCGCACAGGAGCAAGGCGTGTCATCCTACCCGACCATCAAATACTTCCCCAAGGGCTCCACCGAGCCTCTTCCCTACAACGGCGCCCGTGCCGAGAAGGACTTCGTCGACTTCATCAACGCAAACGCCGGTACCCACCGTGCTGTAGGTGGTGGTCTTGACGCCACTGGTGGCACCATCGAGGCCTTCAACACCCTCATTGAGAAGTTTCAGGGCTCATGGGCCGGCGGTGCTGAGGAGGCCAAGACCCTCGCCGGTACTCTGCAGGACAAGTACGCCGAATACTACGTCAAGGTCTTCAACAAGATCGGTGCCAACCAGGAGTACGCTGCGAAGGAGCTCAAGCGTCTGCAGGGACTCATTGCCAAGGGCAACCTGGCACCCGAGAAGATGGATGACCTGATGAGCAGGAGCAACATCTTGAGGAAGTTCATGGGTGATGCTGAGGAGGAGAAGTCTGAGTTGTAGACGACCCGTGCGTGAAGTAAGATTCCGCAATGAGGCATACCATCAACACTATTAAGATGATAAGATGAGCTGGGGGCGCAAAGAGGCCTGGCGCAGGAGCGACAGGCATACGTGATCATGACAATGAGAAAGAGGAACAAGTAGCAGAGAACCAAAAGTCAATACCCAGATTGCATACGATCTATGTAATTTAACACCAAACGCCAATGACTGAGACATGCGCGATGTACACCGCCTGCTTTTGACCAAACATGCTGCCTTCCCTGCAAATCTACTTGCCAGACCCTGAGCCCTTGGTACCGTCTCCGGCCTGGATAGTGGCTTCGAGGTTATCCAGCCGCCGTGACATATCATCCACTACGCATCGTCAGCATCTAGTGTATCTGCTTTAGACATGCTTGTACTTACTCTTGGCAAGCAGCTCGCTGCTGACTGTGGTGAACTTGGTGTTGAGTTGATTCAGGAGATCGTCAACAACTGCTGTGAGCTCCCCAGAGCTCTCGGCATCTTTTGAGACGGCGGACTATACGCGTGTTAGGTAGAGCGGGGCATCGTGAGTGTAACAAGCACGTACCGCAGTGTCGCTTTGCGCGCGGTCTGCTAGTGGCTGCGGTGTCGCCATGACTGAATGTGTTTGTGAGGAAAGTAGAGACGATACGAGTAGTCTGCAGATTCGAGAAAATTTCAGTACCTCACAAGGCGATTGTCAAGCTGTTTGCTATAATACAACAGGAGAGATGCGCATACGGTGGATATGTAAGGTCGCGGAGCACGTGGTCTTCGCCGCGGCTTCCTGCCCGTTTCGTAGGCGGTCAAGCTAGCGTGCACGCTAAGATGTTTCTGCGCCCAGACTTGGAAGTTCACGAATTATTTTCTGGGAAGCTTTGACGTCTTGACTTTTGCGACGTCCGATACTCCACACCCTTCAAAACTCCCTCGAACTCAGACGATATGGCGAAGAAAGGCGTGCTCAAGTCGGCGCTCGACAACTACCAGGGCCGCGACATCAAGCGCGAGAAGCAGAAGAAGTACGTCAAGCAGGCGCTGAAGCGCAAGGAAAAGCGCGAGGCCAGGAAGGCCGCGGAGGATGGCGAAAAGGATACTGAGGAGGGCGGCGTGCCTGTGCCGTTGGATGAGGTAGAGGTGAAGGTCAATGGCAAGACAAAGAAGTCGAAGAAGGACAAGAAGGCCGACGCAAAGGCTGCGCCAGCAGTCAAGGAGCCCGAGTGGGAGACCGAGGGCGAGGATGACGACGACGACGCAAGCGACGATGAAGACGCGCCCAATGGACTTCAAGTAGACCTTGATCACCTCAACGACACTGATAGCGACATCAGCTCAGACGAGGAGGAGATACAGGCTGAGGAGGCCGCAGAGGAGGATGAAGACGCTGAAGATGACGAGGACGAGGACGATGACGAGGATGACATTGCGCTATCCGATTTGGACTCTGTCGCTTCAGAGGACAAGGGTGATATTATCCCACACCAGCGCCTTACCATCAACAACACCGCCGCCCTCACCGCAGCCTTGAACCGCATCCAACTCCCCTACTCGAAACTCGCTTTCTCGGAATACCAGTCCGTAACCACCGACGAGCCTGTCGAGATCGCCGACGTCGAGGACGACCTCAATCGTGAGCTCGCCTTTTACAAGCAATGTCTGTCCTCGGTCAAGGATGCGCGGAAGAAGCTGAAGAAAGAGGGTGTGTCGTTCTCTCGGCCGGCCGACTACTTCGCGGAGATGGTCAAGAGCGACGAGCACATGGGCAAGATCAAGCAGAAGCTGATTGATGCCGCGGCAGGCAAGAAGGCCGCTGCTGAGGCACGCAAGCAGAGAGATTTGAAGAAGTTCGGAAAGCAGGTTCAAGTCGCGAAGCTCCAGGAGCGCGCCAAGGAGAAGAAGGACACTATTGAGAAGATTCAAACTCTCAAGAGGAGTACGTGTTACCTATATCCGAAGACTTGACTGGCAGTATACTGACAAATGTGCAGAGCGACAAGGAGCCGACATCACAGCTACCCACGAGGAAGACCTCTTCGACGTCGCCGCCACCGCAGACGACGACAAGTCCGACCGCCGCGGTCGTGGTGGTGCTGGCGGCAAGGACTTCAACAAGCGCCAGAAGAAGGACTCGAAGTACGGCTTCGGTGGCAAGAAGCGTCACGCGAAGAGTAACACCGCCGAATCCAGCGCAGACGGGAGCGGTTTCTCGGCTCGCAGGATGAAGGGCAAGCCCAGCGGCGGTGCAAGCAAACGGCCTGGCAAGGATAAGAGGGCGAAGAGACACTAGGTGGTGTAGTCATATGGAAGGCTGAGTGACAATCACATGTCACGTTCTGCATGCGTATGGCGCTCTGGCGTTCAGGGACTGAGTCTAAAAGCACACTATGTATTCTAAGAGGCGGAATGTCTTACTTTGCTAGGAGATACCAATGCACAATCGTATAAACGTCTGAAGTCACTTCGCACTGCCGCTGATATATCGTTCCTCGATTTCAGATGAGAGAGTTGGCGCCCACATACCGCCTCGTCTGGGCGATATCGCACGCCATCAACCCCCGTGGCGGTATACAAGATCGTTTGTATCGGTCTGTCGGCGCCCCATATTGGAGCCCGATAGCTCCAGGCGCCAGTCCCGCCTTCACCGCGATACCGCAAACCACAAGCGACGACGTCATCTAACAAACGCTCGCAGGCTATAACGTCCGTGCTTGCTCTTACAGTATACATTGCCCATCCCCCTCACCTTCATAAACTTCTCAAGTACCACCCCAGACTACATTGACTTCGCACCGACATTACGATACTCGACGATACCACAAGTCCTCGATTATCCCTACATCTTACCATGGACAAAGGCATCTACTTCGAAGGCGACGATGAAGTCATGCCCTTCAACAAATCCACTCCAATCCCCGCTCCCAAAGTCGACAAGCCAGTCGATGAGCTCGCCTTCATCGACGTCGAACCCAACACAATCTGGTACTTGAGCATCATCCGACCACACATCGATTCCTACGAACTCATCGGCCCTGCGAAAGCATTCCGCCACCTTCTCCCTCAAATCGAAGACGTCGTCAGTAACTCACCTCCCGCAATCGACAAGCTTGCCGTCATAAAAGAGAAGCCAAACGACGACTTCCTATTTGATGATGACGAAGATGAAGAGAAAGAGGTTGATGAAGAGTTCTTGGAAAAAGGCTTCGATACATTCATTGTCGAGGGCCAACGTGGCGTCTATACTGTACTGAAGATACATCGCGAGATCAACAAAGATGTCTTCGATATCCTGCCTGCGCCCGTCTACACCATCATCTCCGCCGGCCCTCTTGCCCACGCCGAGCACCATTCCTCTACCTCCTTGTCTTCGAAATTCGAGGCTTCCAAGCCAAAAGGATACGCGGCTACAACCAAGCTTCACGCCTCCTACGTCGAACGCGCTGATGCAAAGGAAGACGCTGAACATATCTTCACCGTCTTACTCCTGGATACGGAGGACGTGAAGCAGACCAAGAAATGGGAGAAGGGGACTAAAGGAGGGGGTATCTTGATCGGTATGAATGCGAGTAGTATGTGGGAGGTGAAAGTGATTTATGCCGACGATCCGATTGGCAGGGCGCAGGAAGAGGCTGACAGGGAGCATGACGGGTTCGTTCTGTAATGAGATAAGGGGGCGGAGAGGTATCTGGTGCGTCCACGGTGTTCAGACGGTTGGGTGATGAGGTTATGAAGTACTCCCCGGTCTTGTATGAAGCTAAAGCCGGGAAGCTTTTGGTGTCTTGGAGAGAGACGGAACTACCCATGGCGTCCAGGATTTTGGCTTCTCATTCACACTTTCTACGGGCTTTGCTGTCGTCTCTTGTATGCTGAGACTTTCTATTGCTTTCGTAATGACTTGTTCGCGGTGGAGGAAGCGGCCGTCTGGGCCTCGTGGTGCGCGCATGCATCCTGCGATCCGTGGAGGGTCGTTTGTTTTGCTGTTCTTTCGTACGAGAGCGAGGTGCGTAGTGAGTTGCTGACGTGCAAGTCGTCTTTTCTGGATTCGGTTCTGCTGCTTTGCGTTGAGTTTGTTGACTGGCGTCTCAACTGGTTGCTCGTTGGTTGCTGACATGTTGATCGATGCTTGGGGTACTGTCTCAGGCGTCCTTGCGATGACGGCCCGCCAATTATTGTACGGGTGGGAAAAGAAGAGTAGTTGGATATCTTAATGTCAAGAACAATGGTTTCAGGGCTTTTCTCAGTCTAAAGTTTGCAAAAAGCGTTCGTCGTGCATTGCGGATCAAAGACATGCAGGAAAACAATGCCACATGATTTGTTAGTGATGACGTATGACGGTCAGGCGATGCGGGGACGTCTTGCAACGTCGTGAACACACGACCACTACCACAACACCATCTCATCGCAACGCGTCGATTGCTGAACAACAACGAGAGGCTCTCAGCAACACATCCAGCACGAGAAATGTATTGTTGAATTAGGCTCACACGCTAGGCCCAACGGTGTCGGTAGAAAATCGGGTTTGACTCAACGGCCGACAAAGAACCTCACGCCACGAGTCGAGAACTTTTTGACCTCCCTCCCTCCAGAACTCCCGAGCCCAGGGGACGGACGCCAAGGAGACTAAGAATCTATTACGCCGCACCGCTACTGCACTTCAGTGGACCTCCCTCGTCTTGGGTTTAGTTGCGGAAGCATGCCTCTGCTGCATCGGATTGTGGAGCGGAATCCCATCGGACCTAATCCGGTATACTATGCAGAGCCCAACGCTCTCGGTAGTTCGAGCCACCGACCGACGACGAGATAATTGCTGTTATGCGCCAATACAAGCCTATGCACGATATTATTGCCAACCTATTGAGGCGCCTTCCTTCGTCGCTCGTAGGCTTCCCCACCATGGCGTCAAGAGACAACAGGATTGAACTTATGCGGTCACACTCGGTAGCATTCCGCAACAACACCAACGTTTGAAACAAGCCACAGGCGGAAACAGAAACACGCTACAGCTTGTCTCTCCACCAGAGATTGCAGTGTGGATACGTCGGAAAAGGGTCGTTGGTGATAGGCCTACGGCTAAAGTGCAGGTTGAAGTGAACCATTACTGACTCAGGAGTGCTCCATCTCGCGAACCCACCAGCCTGGATGCACGCCTTCATCGTGTAAATTGAGTCTTAACAGCTCAAATAAGCGCAACAACAGGCTCAATTGAGGGCGGCCGATATATATAATGGTGTAGACCGTTACCATCCGTGAGTCTTGCCTTGGAGTCGCTCTTGACAATCACACAAACTTCAGTAGCCGCTCTACCTCCGAGACCCGTATGCAGTCTCTATCTTTGGCACAGTGGGTACGAGCACAGCGAGCGCTAGATGGTAGGTAGTAGCTCACCCGAACTCAGACGTGAGTGGGCTTGCAGTCTGGTTGTGTCTGGATCCCGATCATCACGTCCTTCAGCATGTGCGATCCCGCCGTGCCCCCCTTTCCGTCATTACTCGTTTCACGTTGAAGAGGCGGAGAAATAATCTTGCTGCATTTTCATGCGCTGAGATATTGGAAGTGGAAAGAGATATCGCAACACTGATGATAACAGCATTCTGCAAATCCTTCATGAATGTCAATCCGCTATTGACCGAATGCTGAATTCTGCTCACATGTTCCTGTACTACTGTGCATAGTCTGCACCGGCAGCGAAGTTCCGTCGAGCATGGTACCTGCACCTCACCACTTGACGAGACCTCCGACCGCCAAGTCTCCTACTGCCAAGATAATGGTTTGAAACAGGCACCCGAATGGTGACAAGCCCACCACCGCGGTTCCCAGGATCGAAAAAGCGGGCGCTACGGGGGTCAATACCACAATGACAGCTCTCATCCCTTCGTATGGTCATCTCGCTTCGCCACAGCTGTGCGGGATAGCGGAAATACGGCCACAGCCAAGAGATCTCGGCCTCATGCGTCGATGGAAGGAAACACCTGAGGCATTGTTTCATGGTGCAAACCAACGTCGGCGAAGAGGGGTTTGCAAGGGATGGGTGGAAAGACCAGCTCTGGTCACTGGAAACGGTTAGCGACATTGACCACGGCGCTCAGATAGGAATGCATGCTCAGATACATAAGAAGCAAAACACCACCACCGTGGAGAGCTCATCAGCACACTTCTGCACACTGTCTTTCGCTTCTCTTCAGCTTTTCGCTACTACATTCGTTTCTACAGGCTAGTCCTACTATACAATCGTTTTTCATCTTCAAACCCACTACCAACCACCAAACCAACCACCACTACTCACCTCAAACATGAAGCTTTCCATCATCGCCGCAGCTGCCATTGCGCAGATCGCCTCTGCCCACTACACCTTCGATGTCCTCGTCACCGACGGCCAGGAGTCCAAGGGCTACGAGTTCATCCGTGAGAACACACGTGCGGAGAAGTTCAACCCCACCAAGTGGAAGAACCCCCTCGACAACATGACCCCCGACATGGACGACTTCCGCTGCAACAAGGGCTCTTTCGCAAGCGCTGGCAAGACCGGCGTCAAGGAGGTCGCAGCCGGCACCAAGATGGCCATGAAGCTTGCCTACGGCGCTACCATGAAGCACCCCGGTCCCGCTTTCGTCTACATGTCCAAGGCGCCCAGCTCCGTCAAGGAGTACGAGGGTGACGGCGAGTGGTTCAAGATCTTCGAGTCTGGTCTTTGCCACCCCGACAAGGACATTCTTGGTGATGCTTGGTGCACTTGGGATAGCAACAAGATCGAGTTCACTGTCCCGGCTGAGGTGCCAGAGGGCGAGTACTTGATCCGCTCTGAGCACGTTGGTCTTCACGGTGCGCACGATGGCCAGGCTGAATTCTACTACGCGTAAGTTCTTCTCTTCACTACTTCTACGATAACATCAACTAACACATGACAGTTGCGCTCAAGTCAAGGTCACCGGTGGCGGCAGCGGCACCCCCGGCCCCACCGTCAAGTTCCCCGGCGCCTACAAGAAGGACGACCCTGAGTTCAACTTCAGCATCTGGGGCGGCTACAAGGACTACACCTTCCCCGCCCCCGCTGTCTGGGATGCCAGCACCAGCGGTGGTGCTCAGTCTCCCGCTCAGACCCCTACTGAGGAGCCTGCTGAGGAGACTTCGCCTGCTGCTTCTCCCGTGCCTTCTTCTGAGGAGCCTGCTGCTAGCAGCGAGGCTGTTGCACACAACTCTGAGAACTGCAAGGGTGGCAAGGCTAAGCGTGGTCGCCGTGCTTTCCGCGAGGCTCTTCTCCGAAAGGAGTAAGATGTGTATGTTTTGTATGATCTGGAGGATTGAAACGATGATAGGCTAGACTTTATGATCTGGTCGACTTTTTGTATATATACTTTTTTGATAGGCGCAGCCGTGCTGCGCTTTCTTGTAGATGTTGCTGGATGAAAAATACAATCAGTACTGTCAAAGCAAACTATCTTCTTTCGAGTGCACTGTGGCAGTCCTTCATTTTATCTTGCGATGGATGGTATGTAGATGTTCACTAAGGATGACATGTCTCCTTGGGGTTCCCTCATGTCTTTATCATATCGTCACTTTGACCAACAGCTTTCGTGTGAAAATATGTTTACAGGAATGTGTATTAGGCTGCGAGTGTTCGGATGTTGTAGTCTGAGTTTGGCTACCTGTGATTATGTCTTTGTTGCGACACCCTGGGAGACGGAACCGTCGCTTCTTCACTAGATAAGGTATATCTTTTGCACTTTGTGCATCTTTTCCGCAATAACTTTCATAACAAGACGTTGCTGTAGTACACCCCGCAATCGCGCAATCATCTCCATCGTCAACACGCTAATCCAGAGTATGTTGATGTTCTGCTCGAGCGTGAACTTGTCATCGATTTTGAGGTCTTCTATCAGCGTGACAGCATTACGAATCATGTCACCCACCGTGACACGTACCGTTTCCTGTTCGAGATGATTTGTTGACCATGAAAGCGTGCCCATGGTACGGACACTTACAGGTAGTAGGAAGGGGTTTATCTGCAATATCGCCAGGTACGGAGGCTGGAAGTTTTTGCAGGCGTTTGTATGACGGTGCACAACCCCATCTAGATATTCGTGCATTTCTCCCATCGATAAGATTTGCCTCCAGTACCATGTTTTTCGAACTCGCTCTATGCCGAAAGAGAGTCCTGCGTCTAACAGATTGATGCCATGCGAGTCAGGAGGCTTGTAGATCTTCTTGACCAACTCGGTTAGCTCTAGATGAGCGGATCCAGTGATGTCGAAGCCGAGTGCTGCGTTCTCAAAGACAAAGGCCATGACACGCTTACGCTGTTCCCTCATGGCCGCCATTTCGACCGGCTCCTGGCTTTCGGCTACGTGTGCGTCGGACAACCAATCTGATTGTTGGCTAGCAGCGGTCGCTAAAGGAAAATGCTCCTTCCAGTGATCTTGAATGATGGCGCTGCTTGTTGACTTCGCGAATGCGCTTCCAGCACGTGTACTGAAAAATAAAATATCGGTCAGCCAACCCTCCACAATCTCCACTTCAAGACCAGCTAGCTGCCCAGATATTGCAGATATATTTCCACGTTCACGAAAGCCCGGGATAAGCGAGTAGCCCGCAAGGGCTGCTTCTCTCTCTGAGAGATAATCACCGTTGAATGATTTTTCACGATGGGAGTGGTGGGGTGAGTCTTGTCTGATAGCCCATGGGTCACCAGTCGGAATACCTCGTAGACCGCACGATATTTCACATGGGCTGTCGAGGCTATAAACTTTGTCGGCGTGCAACTTTAATAGACAGGCACGATTCCAGTTGACCAGAATATGCAATTCAGCGTCTTCGCGTGGCATGTGATTCAATGATCGACCAAGATTCCCGGGGTCTGCTAAATCCAGATCCTCTGTGTCCGCGAAACCCAGACCATATAATGGATTCCCGTTGATGTCGGTGAAGTGAATCTCGTCTTTTAAAACAGACAGTAAATGCACAGCGTCGACCACCATTATACCAGCTTCTCGTAGTGGTCTTGCTGTACCCTGTGGTCTGCAAACGTCTTCTAGTGTCCATCTATATTGGGATCCGTGTTTTCTGGGCCAACGCCAGTTCAGACCTGAGGAAGATCTCCCCAGATCTGTAAATTTAAATCCGAGCGTTTCGGATGCTGAAGGCGTATGCTCGTAGCTCGTCTCTATGTTGGAAAGAGACTCCCAGTCAGGAACCCACGACGGCAGCAATGGGGTAGTTTTGGGAAGAAAGGCAAGATCCAATATGTATGACTGCAGTGGCCAGGATCCCCATTCTGTGAGCCAGTACATTGCCAAGCCTGTATAGAGCTGTTGAACGTTGATGCCATAATCGACCGGAAGATCGGATCGCTCGTCCCTACCAGTGAGGCCCAACAAGCCATATAATCTATCGCGTGCATCACCGCATCGACAATGCAGTGTGGCTCCGAGCAGCGATATGATGCTCATGTCGCTTCGTTCGATATTGAGGTACTCCACCCAATGCTGCACCCAGCGCTTATCCTCGCGCTCACCCACGCGCTTCCACTCGCGCCCATATCCATACTTTCCCTCGCCCCCACCCTCGTGCTTCCACTCACCCGTACCCTCGAGCGTCTTATCTCTGTACTTGCTTAGATATCTCAAAAAGAGGCCCCAATCTATCGTGACGTCACCAATGGTGAGGGTGGCTGTGTTACTAAGCTGAACCTCTTGGATTACCCAGATGCGTGAGAAGTAGGGTATCTGCAAGATGAATCGTGGATCCACTGAGGTCATGTGGTTATCATCAGTAAAGTCTGGAATGGGGACACGTTTGGCACTCTCATCATCCGCATATATGAGAACCCTCGACGCGGACTCGTATATTTCCCTCATGAGTGACACTTGTTGCCCGCGCTCTTCCAAATCAAACTGATTAATGCAGATGGCGTCTACCCAGATAAGACGATCAACAGCAATCCGGTAACGTTGTAGCGCTGCCATGCAGTTCTTTGTCACGAGACAAGTGTCGTAATTTGGACCGATGAAGATAGTCTCGCACAGGGCTGAATTGCCATTGGAGTCTGCCCAGGTATATGATAAAGCCTCGAAGATTGGTCGGCTGTGATCGCGAAGCCCACAGACTAGTAACGAGCAATGAATAGGGTCGCTCTTGATCTTGCTGCCATGCACGCAAAGAAGACGAATCGAATCAGCCTCAGGAAGGCGGGAATAAATCTTGTGTAGCATCGGCTCCGGGCGCATCTGTTGCTGCAAGCTCTCCTGATTCCGCGACAACGAGAGTTCATGTTCCTGGCTCGCATGGCTGGCAGTCCATTCATCAATGTTGGCACATATGAATGCTCGCAGCTTTTGCTCCTCATTATAGTCATGACCAGACGCTGCAGCGTAGCCCTGGTCTTCGTCGCGAATGAGATTGGAAAAGACTCGTGGGGGCCATGTGCACACCAGTTGTGATCGTGAAGTATGTAGCGGAGGCGCGGGCGGTGAAATCGGGTGGATAGGCGTTAGCTCGGGCGCCCTGCGCTGGCAAGTGCGGCACCCAGGGCGCCCGTCTTCCCACTCCAGATGCAGGTCTGGGCAGCTCGCATCGTGCCATGCCATGAAGCTAGATCGATTCACTTCTGCGAAGTGGATAAAGGATGTGTAGGATGTAATGGCGATAAGATAGTTGCGCAAGGCTGGGGGAAGCAATGCAGACTACCCCGCCGAACTTGTGCCTATTGGTCAGCTTTGCTGCATCGATATCTCGTTTTGGAGACAAGGCAGGGGTCTAAGTCGACCTTGAAGATAGGCAAATGAGCATCCAATACTCCTACAAGATCAGTCTTCGATACCCACAGTTTTGCAAACGTGCAGCAGTCGCTCGCGGAGCCCCAAGGACTTAGTAGGAATCATAGTACTACACCATGGCACCACAAGAGTCGCCTGAAGCGTTCAGAGCTGAATCCAACGATGTCAACCATCTTGAGAGACCCAGCTCAAGTTTCCTGACAGATGCCACCCAAACACAGGAGGACGTTCAAGATCCAGGGACCATTTCATGTCCCGAGGCCTCGAGGAGCCAGCTGGCACATGACAGCTGAGCATTGTGACGAACTGAGGCATTGCACCCCGGCGTCTGACAGGTGTTTCGTGTAACAATGTAGTCCTGCATAGAGAGAGCTGCGGCTGAGGCCACCACTGTCGCACAAAGTTTGCATAGTCGGTACGAGTTGTGGGGTGGTGACATCTCAGCGGGGACGCGAGAAAAGATGGTAGCGAAGCAGCAGCAGTGCGTTGGGCGACAATGTGGAGAAGAGCATGCGGACGATGAATGTCGGGGTACGCGATGTCGCTTTGTCATGTACCTCAGAGCTCAGATGCCGCGCCTGAAGATTTTCTCTTCGGCGATTCGTGCTATGTCGGGGCTGAATTCTTTTCCGCGTCAAGCTTCGTCGGGGTAGGCACTAGCGCAGGGCATGGCCAATCAGGGTTGTGGGCCGTCGGATCGAAACCATGGGGAGACCTCCGCGTGATTGACAGCGAGCGACCCACGTGAACGAACACCTCGGTAGCGACAGCCTTCTCGCCATCATCGCTACCACATTTGCCTCCCGCAGCGAAGGGACTGGATTTGGATCTCTCGCAGTCGCTGGGTCAGACATCCTGACCGTGCATCGTGACCACATGCACTAATCAAGGGCGGCCCCGGTTGGACGTTTCCAGCGTCGGGACAGGAGCGGAGGCTGGGGTTGGTGGTGTTGGGCTAATGAGAGTGACTCGTGCCACACTGCGCGCTTAATTAGGAGCTCCGAAGGCCAGCGAAGTCGCGTATTGGCCGTTAGGCGTCCATGGCGGACAAGCGTCAGCAGTTCACATTCATCATGACCGCCGTTGCATTAGCGTTCAGCCACATGGTGTTGTCTGGGGAAAGAGGCCTGCAGTGGTGAAAAGCATAGCGCAGGCCATGCCATTGGCGCATCGTCAGCGCATCATCGTGATGTGTGAAAGCAGGCGTCGAAGGCGGAGGGAGCCGAGTGTAGGGCGCCGCGCACCTGGTATTGGGGGCTAGCGTCGTTACCAGTCTGCTCCAGACACACGTTAGCCGACTCCATGGGCCACGAGAGACTCCATGGGCCACGATGGTGGAGTCTAGTGAAGTGGGAACCCTTGGTCGGGGAGCACCTCACGTGCGGCTCTGAAAACCTAGAAGCGTTCTAGACAGGCAAAACCACCGTCTGTGCTCTATCTGCCAAGGTCAAATCACAGCCGGTGCAAATGCCGGTCCGACACTTGTCAAATTACCAGGTTAGTCGGGCCAGTCGGGCCTGGAGAAGAAGCTGGAGCAGGCAAAACGCGGGCGACCATTCCCCAGAGAGCTGGTGGCGCGCACCCTTCACTGGGTTCCAGGCTAATGCACCCAATAGCAGGGAAGCACGGGCCCCTACTAGTCGCGCCGCAATGTTACCTAGCCATTTCTGCGGTACACTTGTTCCGCACTGCACTAGATCTCAAATCTCCAGCTCTGTTTATTAACCCTCAACTCACCCGCATCTCGGATTCTGATTCTTCGTCCAAGGCCGCGTGCGAGTTCTACCCTGCACAGCTTCAAGCAACGCGCTTCGTCAACTCCCTCAGCGTACAACCCCCACGCACTTGCCCATCATGAGCCACAACAACGACCTGGCCGACGAGGCCGCCAACCCCAAGGGCATCCAAGCTACCACTGATGTCAACATGACTGAGTGCCCTGTCACTTGGAAGGCCTACCTTCTCTGCGCCTTCGCCTCCTTTGGTGGTATCTTCTTCGGTAAGACAATAACATTGTACAATTTCCACAGTAATAGTGGCTGACTGCATACCCAGGTTACGATTCCGGATACATCAACGGTGTGCTCAACTCGCCTCTCTTCATCGAGGAAGTTGAGGGCCCCATCTGCCCTCAGGGTCTTGACACTGCTGGTGGTCTCTGCAAGATCAGCTCTGGCAACACCTCGCTCATCGTCTCCATTCTCTCCGCTGGTACTTTCTTCGGTGCTCTCGCCGCTGGTGACCTTTCCGACATGATTGGTCGCAAGTGGACCATTGTCCTGGGATGTCTCATCTACATCATCGGTACGAACTCACCCGCTTGCACTACTTTATGAAACAAGCCACTAACCCCCACTTAGGAGTTGTTTTGCAAATGGCTGCCACTGGCCGTGACCTCCTTGTCGCTGGTCGTGCCATCGCCGGTATCGGTGTCGGTTTCGAGTCTGCCATTGTCATTCTCTACATGTCCGAGATTTGCCCCAAGAAGGTCCGTGGTGCGCTCGTCTCTGGTTACCAGTTCTGCATTACCATTGGTCTCCTACTTG